TCTGTATCCGCCGATTCATATACGGTTACGGCGGTTGCATGTCCACCCACAACGTCCGGTGATCACGAAACATTATGTTCTGAAGGATTTCTTCGTGGCCCTATTCTTAAAATCATAAAATGTCATTGAATAATGAATATTTTATCGTATACGACGTCGTTCATTCGGGAGTTAACAGTTGCACTCGTTCGTAGCGGCAAATACCTATTGCCGATTCTCGCTGGATGAGCGTTATTTTGTTATCACATATCGTTTCGCATTCACGCAAACATGATAAWGTTGTTGACGTTATCTCATGGTGTTCTCACGATGATAATCTACAACCACGAATTAAAAGATAATAATATGTCTATAACTTGTCACTTGGAATTCAAATCGATTGTTCCCAAAGTGTAAGGTTATTACTGTACTTTTTTTTTTAAGTTTTATGTTATCGAAAATCCTGTATTACATTTTCAACCTTTAAGACTGAACGAAAAAATAGTATTGACGTTTATACAAAAAACTAATRACAATTGGAATTTAAAATTTCTATAAATTAGGAAAACTATATTTTCTTATATGTTTATAACATTTTTTATTTATTTTTTTATAACATATTTTCTTATGTTATGTTTAATTCATATTTTGGTGAAATATAATTAGTTTACCAACATTATATTTTTATATTTTTCCTTACCAAACAATTGTAAAATATGCATGAAAAAATGTCAAATATGCAAACAATTAAATTTATAATTATTCATGATAGGTATTTGTATTTGTGTCAGGAATTTTCATTAAATCAGGTACAACTGGTTATTATACACAGAACTAGTTTAATTAACACAAAAGAAAATACAGTAACGATACAACGACAGCGTAGAATAAAGTAAACATTACAATTTACTAGGTCCGCACATAACACATAGGACTTCAGTACACACAGATCACTACTACCAGTTGGCTACTCAGTACTCGTCGAGTCGTCGAGTGCTAGCTGACTACTGCCTACCATAGGCGCAACTAGAGGCCAAACACTGGGGGTGCTAAAATATGTAGATGAAACAGACCCGTGGGGGCTACGCTCCCACACCCCAAGTACCATGCTTCAATTTTATAATTACTATAACCGATCTTAAATGCATTATAAAAACGAATGCCGGAAAAAAAGTCCCCGTTAATAAAATCATACGAAAAACATGATTGTACGTAATTATTAATTTTCTTTAATATTTATAACGATTACATCTATGTATATTGTATTATAATGTTAATGTATTACATTTTGTTTTAATTTTTTCTCAAAATAACGCTTATGACTAATGAGCGTATATTATTATTATATAAATTCTAGAGTTCAAAATCCCACATCCCCCCATGACAAAATCATTTGACCGCCACTGTAATACTATGTTTACATAATATATAATAATATACTATTTTACACTGTCTTATACTATTTTTCTTTTATTAGTGGAATTGAAATATATTTCCAATATTTCTGAAGAAGTAATTTTATTAACAACATATCTTTCAATATTTAAACAACCCTTACGTAAAAAAAAAAAACTTTTTCATATAATT